TAGATAGGCTGTCTGACATAGACAGAAGGACAAGCACCTGGGTGCCAGATGTGAGCATGTGTATGTGTGTCACTGCAGTTCCATCTGGGACTCAAGACAGAAGCTTGGCTTTTGATCATGGAAAGGAGAGCGATTCATTAAAAAGCACAGGATAAGAAGTTCCAGAACTGGAGTGTGACTGGACAAAGGTTCTCCGCATCTTGCTTTCCTTTCATTTTATCTTCTGGGGCCTCTTCGATATTTGGTGACAACTGTGCTTATAATGGTGTCTGGATTTTACCTCCACAGTTTTGATATCGTGCTCAGATATTGCTTTCCTGCATATTATAGGGAGTCCTCTGAAGCATCAGATAGTTTTTTCCTAAGTGAAAGGGAAGAAAACAAAAAGTTATGTATACTGTGCAATGGGTAGCTAACGCTTTATTTTGGTTTTCTTTCAATTTAATACCATTTTTCATTTCAAACTTAACTCTGTGTGCAGAGAGTGGCTGAAAGAATCAGTGTGAGTTGCTGTGAGGGGGGTATTGCACCTTGGGGGCAGGAGGCTGGGGTAGGAGTGAGGGAAAGTTGGTGGTTGGTTGGAGGGTTGAAGACCCTTACTAAGCTAACATTCTAGAACTTACCTCCTTTTCTTCTTGCACTGCAGCTTGTTATATGATGAGAAAAGGAAAGAGATTTCCTCACACTAAGAACAGAAAATAGCTTGGTGGTCTTTCGTCTAGGTCTCAATTGTGTCTAAACTGTACTGAGTACCATCATTTACGCTGGGTTGTGGAGATACTCCTTCCGAGAGGTAAACAACTCTTTTACATGAGGTCAAAAGGTATACATGCTATGAGATCACTAGGATTTCAATTTTTTTTTGAGCTTAAAATGTATTTTTATCTCCACTGAGGTCCTTCCTTATAAAATATTGCACATAGGAGACAGGAAAGACTAAGCAACATCACTTTTGCAACTCACTGTTGACACAGTGTTCCAACTGTAGAGTGATCTCCACAGCCCTGTGAAGTTGGCTGGAATTGTTAGCTCCTCTTTGATGGATGACTTAACTGAGGCTCTGGGGAGCCATTTCTGAACAGTGGTGATACTGTACTCATTGCTGAGTTCCTATCTTCTTCTGGAGATTTGTTTTCTTTTGCCTTGTGCTATCCATGTGTATCAGAAAGCATTCCTCCTGTGGAAGGCCTATTTATACCAATTTTTCTTTTGGGACAGTAGATTTAGAAATTTTGGTTGAATATATATAGCATACAATTTGCCATCATAACCACTTTAAAGTGTACAGCTCAGTGGTATTCAGTGCAGTTACATACGCAGCCATCACCTCCAACTACATCCAAAACATTTGCATTGTCCCCACCTGAAACTCTGTCCCCATTAAACCCTCCAGTCCCTGCTAACTTCTATTGTTAGCTTGCTGTTGATGAATTTTACATTCTGGGTAATTCAAATAACAAATTATATAGGCTTATTTCATTTAGCATCATGTCCTCAGGTTCACCCACACTGTAGCATGTGTCAGAATCTCATCCTTTTGTAAAGTTGAGTAATATTCCGTTGGGTGTATATACATTTTGCCCACCCATTCATCTTTGGATAGACATATGGATTGTTTCTACCTTGACTATTACGAATGATACTGCTATAGACATCAGTGTACAAATCTGGTTACATTCCTTGTTTTCAGTTCTTTTGACTATATAACAAGAAACGGAATAACCGGCTCATATGGTGATTTTATGTTTGCTTTGAGGAGTCATTACACCTTCAAAACTACTGTGGAACCACTGTACATTCTCGCCAATGAAAGTTCAATTTCTTTACATTCTTGCCATCATTTTCCCTTTCTTGGATAAATAGAAATCCTAATTCTTGTGAAGCGGTATCTTATTGAGGTTTTGATTTACATTTCCATAATGGTTAGTGATGTGGACCAGGCTGTCTTTGGAGAAATGTCTATTCAAGTTATTTTTTTTCCCCTGATTGAGTTAGTTGTTGTTACAAGTTATAGGAGTTCTTTACATGTTCTGAATATTAATTCCTTGTCAGATATGAGATTTAAATGTTTTTTTCCATTCTGTGGGTTTCCTTCTTTTTTTTTTTTCTCCCAGTAGTGGGAATTGAACTCATGCTTGATAGACAAGCATTCTACTACTTGAGCCACACCTCAGCTTTTTCTGCTTTAGTATGTTTTTCAGATAGGGTCACTTGCTTTGCCTTTTGGCCAGGGCTGGCCTTGGACTGCAATCTCCCACCTTTATCTCCTGTGTAGTTGAGATTATAGGCATGATCTACCACACTCGACATCCCCTTTCACTTTCTTGATAGCACTCATTGATGTACAAAATTGTTTGTCTTGATGAAGTCCAATATCCATTTTTCTTTTTTTGCCTGTGCTTTTGGTGTTGTAGTAAAAAAAAATCATTTACAAATCCAACATCGTGATGTTTCCTCCTAAATTTTCTGCTATGAGTTTTACATTTCTAGCTCCTATGTCTAGGTCTTTGACTCATTTTTTAAAACTTTTATGTATTTATTTTTTATTTATTAGCATATAGTAGCTGTACATGGGGGATACTTTGTGACATTTACATATGTGCTTACAGTACGTCTTAATTACATTCATCCTCTCCATCATTCTTCTCTCATTCTTTTCCCTACCCTTCTTAGGACAGTTTCAACAGGTTTCATCGTTCTCTTTCATTCATGTATACAAAGTACATCTACCACATGTGTCCTCCTTTGCCCTCTCTGGGTGGGAGGTAGAGTCCAACTTCATTCTTTTGCATGAGGATACCCATATAATATTATATTTCTGAAGATACTGTTTAAAACCAAACTTAGGCTTTCCTCTGCATTCTCTAGATAATTTATGGCAGCAGTGAATTATTTTGCATCATTCAGGTTCCTAGTTCTTTTTTTCCATACCATGATAGGTAGTAGCAGAAGCTGGAGCTAAGTAATGTCCTAAAGGGTAACTGTGTATGTGAACTCTGTATAAACAACTCTAGACTGAGTCACTCATCAATCACACAGTAGCTGGACACAGTTGCTCACATCTATAATCCCAGCTACTTGGGAGGCAGAGATTGGGAGAATGACAGTTTAAGGCCAGCCTTGGCAAAAGTTACTGAGAATCCATCTCAACAAATAAAGCCAAGAGTGGTAGCATGACCCTATTACCCCAACCATGCAGGAGACATAGGTAGGAAGATTGTGGACTGAGGTTGGCCCCAGGCGTAAAGTATAAGACCCTATCCAAAAGATAGCCTAAAGCAAAGAGGGCTATAGGGCTGGTTCAAGTAGTAAAGTGCTTAACTAGCAAGTGCAAAGGCTGAGGTAAAATTCCAGTACTACCCCCAAATGATAATAATAACCATACTGTACAGTTTTATAGAGCAAGAATTGAAGTCTTCTTTTTAAATTTTTAGTCTCTTGCAAACATAGTGGATACTATTATAATTAGTTGCGACTGATTTAATTGACCATATGCTCTTTAAATGGAGTAGTGTGCTGGAACCCGCTGAGCTTTGGAGACAGGTGGGAGCTTCCTTAGTTTCATAGACTTCTCTTACAGCATGGATTGCACTTTAATGGAGATGGTTGATTTATATGTCTTGATTCCTAGCACCTAGAGTAGTGCCTGGTGCCAACATTTATTAAAGTAACCCGAACCAAAGACACTATGTATTCTTTACTTCCAAGTCATGTTCCTGTGCTGATACAAAGCATGAGCCAAATGATCCTGTTTTAATTACAGCATCCAACTGCATTGCTAATTTATACAATGAAAGATAATGATGACGTTGCTGCGAATGACGTTTATCAGATTTTTATGGACTTTCAAAGTTGACAACTTGTGACTTTATTAAGAAAGAGTCAACCATGATTAACTCTCATCTCTTACCCAAAGTAAATGAATCTTAAAAGTCAGAATAAGCAGGCAAATACCGACTTCCCAACAAAAATTTTTCCGTAATAAAATAACCTTATTCATAGAAATGAGATTACATTGTAACATCCTTGCCATTTTCCTGAATATATGAATAAAAGATGGCATATATTTTTACCTAGAACAGTTGTAAGACTTCCATATTATTTACAGTGTCTCTGAGACATGTATGAATATATTTTGCCTTTTAATTCCTACAACACAAACCGTGAATTAAGGCTACTCATGGCCATTTATTTTACAGATCATCTAAAATCATACTTAAAGAGACATTTTAGCTTTTTTTTTTGAAATCCCAACTCCCTGTTCAGTCGGATATCTTCCATATACAGTCATGGACCATATAGCCATTTTAGTCAATGCCAGAGCACAGAAACCAGAGTGATCCCTTAAGATTATGTCGCCACAGCCATTTTAGTTTGTGAACATGTTATAAAACTCAGGCAAGGGCATAGTCACAGAAGAATGCATTTCCAGTATAAGTAAGGAACAACTGTAATTATTTTCCTTTCTTAGGAAATATAGCATTTCATATCAGGTTAGTAGAGAGAAACAAGAAGCTGAGCAAGTGAGAGTGCAGTCTCCTGAACTGGTTTTACAGCAGCCCTCTTCCTCCTTGGTCCTTGCCTAGATTCATGGAGCTCCACTGAGGAATTCAAGCAAAGAGGGGCACAGCTATTGACATATTCGATAGCTCGGAAATCTAAGGCATCAGCCTGTGTGTGGAAGGTCACAGTGTCATCCCTCAGAACCTAGATCCTTTTGGTCCACACTGTCTCACTTTGCCCCTGGCTGAGTTATATTTAGCTGAAGCATAATTTGAAGGGTGAAAAATTAAGTGTGATCTGTCATTGTCACAGCCAGCAACACTATTCATTTTCGCTTTAGACCACAGCTCCTGATCTGATGATCGCTGCTCTGGTGCCAAGGACTTGCTGGAGACCGCTTGGCTCCAGCTTTCCCTGGCTTGACCACACCCCCCAATTTAAGGAGGCAGCTCTATTAGGAACATTGTGGTCTTTGCATCCTCTTTAGCCAAGGAGCCCAGGATTCCTGCAGGTAGTTGGAAAGAGACCTCAGAACCTCAGAGTCGCTCCCTTGCTAACTATTCTTCACCCATCCGGCAGAGGAGTAAGTGAGGGGTGAGTTTGTGCTTATAACTTTCATTCCACTTTTTTCCCTGATTTTTTTTGTTTGTTTCCATTTGATGGAGTTAAAGGTTAAATGAATGGAAACTTTCATAATACAAGCAGGTTTCTTCCTCTTTTAACATCTTTCTCTATTCATCCACTCAACTGTCTAATAATACCATTCAAAAATATTTCCTGACCTTATTAGAATAGCCTGAAATCCAGAGTGTGGGTCGTGATCATTTTTTTTTTCCCAAAAGCAAAGTCATGCGCGTGGTAGACACTTGCAGATGACTTGTCACAAACGCTTGAGTTTTCTTCGTAGATTGGAGCACTTCCAAAGAAATAAAACTGCAGTTCAGCATAGAATTTTTTTCCTTTTTCACTCTTAGTGAAGCCTCTTGTTTTACTTTTTTTTTTCCAGCAGCTTAATGAATTTCTTTTATAGTGAGGAAACTCCTACAGGTTGGAACCATGTATGCCAAAGTAGCCTGTGGGTGGCTTTTGCTGTCCGGAGACTCGCAGTTCTTTTTCTAAGGTCCAGCAATCCTTTGGGCTGTCACTGCAAGTGGTGTGAGTGTGGGGGGGTGGGAAGTGGAGGGGTCTCCTGGTAGCCATTGCAACAACGGATGGCAATTCCTCTCCATTCCCTGGTCGTATCCGGCAATTCACTTTGTATGTGGCTTCTCATCTCCTGTTAAAAATGTCTCTGTTTCCACCTTTCAAAGTAGCATTTTGTGTGTGAACTGTGCAAGAAGATATTGGGTTTCTGAGCTCAAGGCATTTAATTGTATGTTTTCCTTATTACCTTTTTTCTTTTTCTTTCTTTCTTTTTTTTTTTTAAGTCTCAAGGCCATTTTTCTTCCTGCTTTGTACCACTGAATGTAACTGGGGAAGAAAAAGATATTTGTTAAACAAAGGAAAATACAGATGCTAAAATGGTAACCATTTGATTTATAAAATTACTGATACTTTAACTCTTTCATCAGTTGTGATCTGCATTGCTTCACCTCCCTTTTATCTAAGGAGAAACCCCTTTCACACTGGCGTGGATTATGCAGGGCAGGCTGAGCGGGGTGGCCCAGGGTTCCTGGGGAGATTCTCGCTTTACCTGGTGCTGCTGAATGGAGGGGAGAGCTAATGAGTTAATGTCTGCAAAGTGCTTTGAAGATGAAAAGGTCTTTTCATGTGTTTGGGTATTGTAGTTATTAATATTAATATTTGAAGACGCATGCTGCTTCTAATTGTAAATCAACAACTTCCATCCTTGCCAAATCAGTAGTGAAATAACAAACAGTGCAGGCAGCCAGGCAGCCTCTTCCGTCCTGGTTCCAGCCTTTTCCATCCTGGTTCCCCTACTGGGGACGTGGAGAGCCCAGGCTGATTACCAAGGGGACATCTTTGCCTTACACCCAGGTGCTAGCTACTAGAGGTGCCAGAAGCTTCCCCAGCAGAGTCTGGGGGAAGCTGGGTAATGGGGTATAACCCTCCAACACCTGGCCCTCTGTGACCTTGGAGAAAGGCTGACAGCCTGAGTGTGGGTCAATTGCTTGTCCCAGATGATGGTGGAGTTCAAAGGCAAGTAGTTCAGAGCTGGAAGCACTCTGGATTTGGAATCAGGAAAATTAATATGCATTTGGATTCTATTAGAAATTACTGAGGACAGGTTATTGAATGTGACGTGCTTTATTTTCTTCATCTCTAAAATATAAATGATTATTTGAGTCCCACCTAGTTCAAAGATGAAAGACTAAAAATAAATACAGCATAGAGTTCTGAAAAATAAAAGAGCCAACAGGTCCAAGACAGTTGAAGTAATCCTGTAGGAAAGTGGGTGTGAGGGTGCAGGTCCCTAGGGGAGGATGAGGCAGAAGCAAACAGATGCTATGGAAACAGAACTTCGCACTTAGAATTCTGTTACTGCACTGGTGAGTGTCTCACCATTAACTCAGGTTCTGCTGTGCCTCATATTTTATTTATTGGTGAACAGATTTTTTTTTCCCCTACAAGTCTGAATTACCCATTCAAACTTCCCAATTGTTCATATTGAAAAGCAGAAGAAATGGAAATATCCCAGAAGCTGGGCCTTCCTTCTTCCTTTCTTCCTTCCTCCTCCTCCTCCTCTTCCTTCTTCTCTCTCTTTCTCCTCTTCTCTCCTTTTCTTCCCTCCTTTCCTCCCTTTCTTACCCTTCTATTTTCTCTTTTTTTCTATATGAAAATTAAAAAGCACTTTGTATTTGAGTGAAATTAATGTGATTGGCAGCAATTTATTGGCTTCTGAGGTAAATCTTGTAAGTTTCTTAAATCCTGGAGAAAGTTGGATATAAAGACATAACTCATTTTTTGCATCCTCATTTCCTTCATCTCTACCCTACTGAAAATGTAGCATCACAGAACTCAAGGGTTTACTCTAGCTGGTTCTCTGGGCATCATTGCTGGTCTCCTTCAAGTCACCTGAAAAAGGATGGCAGTCTCTTACATTTATTGAGCACTTCCCATGTTCCAAGTCTTTGTTAGGTGACTTTGCTAGGACTCCTTCATTTAAATCACAATAGTGAACTCCTGGTGGTATCCTGATTAGAACCAAGGGAATGTGAGAGCACAGAATTTGTGACTAGAATTGCATATCATAGAGTTTGTTGTGCCTGGAATTGCATGCCTGCAGAATCCAAGTACCTTGAGACATTTACACAAAATTGGGCCCAATTTTCTGCATGTCTGGGAGAATACTGTAGATCAGACCTATTTTCCAAAGCAGAATCTGTAGATTAATTATCATTTTAAAGAAGATACTAACTCTGAAAAAACTAGGAGGTCTAGTTGCCTGTGTGAGTAAATCCACTCCTCCTGTGACAATTACCATTCTTGTTTCTGCCCTATGCTCGGTCTTGTTTGTTGAGGGATATAGAAGGAGCAATATGTAAGTCAAATTTTTCTATAATTAATTTTATTAGCATATAATATTTGTACAGGGAGATACATTGTAATATTTACATATGTGCTTACAATGTATCTTAGATTTACTACTTCCATTGTTCCCCCTCGTTTTTAGAACAATTTCAACAAGTTTCATTGTTCTATTTTAATATATGAAAACAAAATACATCTACCATACTCACCTGTAATCCTCCTTCCCTGTGTCCACCCACCTCCCACTGGTACCCATCTCCAGAAAAGACCGATTTTTCCCTCCTGCTCTTCATTTTTTTAAAGTGCATATTGATAGTTCAAGGGGGTTTCACCTTGGTACTTCAGGCCTCTATAATTTATTTTAGAGAGTAATATTTTACTGGAAAAGAGATTGATAATGAAACACAATATAGTTTTTAAACAGTGTGACTCAGTCTATCAAAACTTGGGAAGTTCAAGTGGAAAAGCTGGTTTCCAATCTATTGGAAGAATGTTTCCAATCAATTTTTTTTTTCCCTCAAATCAGAGGTTGGGTTTGGAATTGTAGTAACTAAATACAGGTGTTGTCTCAAGAGCTTCCAGGGGACAGTATGGATAGCATTTAAGAAAATGAGAGTAAAGCAGAGAACTTTTAGTACCAAGGTCAGGAATATACTTTCAGGGGAGAAATAAGATTTTTTTTTGGTGGTACTGGGGTTTGAACTCAGAGCCTCATGCTTGCTAAGTAGGTGCTCTACCACTTGAGCCACTCTACCACCCCTTTTTTGTGATGGGGTTTTTCAATAAAGGGTCTCAGGAAGTATTTGCCAAGGCTGGCATCGAACCTTCCTTCCTTCCTTCCTTCCTTCCTTTCTCCCTTCTTTCTTTCCTTTTTTGTGGCAAAGTTTCACTCTGTTGCCAGGCTGACCTGGAACTCCTGGGTACAAGGGATCTTGGATAAGCTATAGGCATGTGCCATACACTTGCCTTCAGTTTCTTGAAATGAGGCTGAAGAACTTAAAACAGACACCTTGTCATATGTGGCCATCACCTGTCATGTGTTATAAGAAGCCCATGAAAGGACCTGAGCTGGGCAATTCTCCCTGGTCAGGTTTGCCCTGCACCTTACCAAACTTCTGCTCAGTCTTGGCACAAGTGTCTTCTTGTTTGTCCTTGAGTGGTGCCTGCCTCCTAAACACTTACCTTGTTAACAGTCCTCAGAAATGTAATTAAGTGAGTCCAGCTCTGCCTAGCTACTCAATGGGGTCCTCAGAACTACAGCTTCAGCAAATATAGCTTCAGTGTCACATGGGGAGGCCAGACCTGGGACCTCCCGACACATGCTCTGTAACATGATCCCCATCCCTGGGTGATTAATATGCACACTGTAGTTATGGGTGGCACTGCTTTAAAGAAAATGGACTAACAAAAAATGGAAAAACCAACCAAACAAAAACCCTTGCAGTGTTTTCCGGAGTAGGTTACTACTTCTGTATATTTATAGCTAGTTGCTACAGTGTTACTTCACAAAAGATTGGCATTTATATCAAAAAGATGTTGTTTTAACTCAGGAAGTGACAATAGTTCCCCATTGGTGCTATGCAATCTTTCAATGACTTTGTTCAGAGCTGTAAGAAAAATGCTCACTTCTTGGCTTTATGCATAACAATGATACAAACTGACTACCATTCAATAGAAATTGTGGCTTTTTTCTCCTACAAAATTCTTGACTACTCAGTCTATGATTATGAAAGGAAATGCTTCCCATCCCTTTTTTTTTTGCTGACTTACATGAAATCCATAGAAAAAGAGATGAGGATTTAGACCCTCCTGTTCTAGTTCTAATTCTTAAATAATGCTGCTACCACAGGTTGTAAAAATAATGCTGAATCAAACAACTCTTACTACCTGCTAGTGAATGATTACTAGTTGTCAGGCACTTTTGATAAAATAACAATGATCATTATAATTACTATTTATTGACCCTTTTTGTCATGTATGAGGCATTCTGCTAAGTATTTGTATTTTGTATAATCGTCCTTGGTAATCCTGAGGGTTGTTTTTGTTTTTTTTTGTCCACTTTGTAATTGAGGAAATTAAAATTGTGAGGTTAAAAAATTAGG